ACTTTCAGTCTGTCTTTCTCATGTCTCCTGCTGTTGCATTTCCTGTGTCTCTCTTGGTTGGTTTCATTCTGTTTCTGGTTCAGCTGACTGGGGCCCATGTGTTCAGAGCTTTAGTTGTGGTATGCAACGAGAGCCAAATTAACGCTGCATGTTGCCATATGAGAGACTGAAGTACAACAAGTAACACAGAACAGATGGACACCAGAGTCTGGTTGTTGGAAAAGTATTTTCCACTGATGTTGCACACTCCTCTCTTACTGTCAGTGAGAGAGAGAAAAAACGTGCACTGAAAGAAAAACACAGCAAAGATGGAGAGAGAAGAATGTGTAAAAATAAACGTAAATACAAGAATGCATAAGCACATATATTTAAACGCATTTTGACTTCAACCATGTAACTCCAATTATGTTGGTTTAATGAGGCATAACTCTACATTTGGCTTTGGAAATTTTGGGATTTTCTTATTACTAAAGGCTCAAGATAAGGTATCACATGACCCCGACAGGACGGAAAGACGAGGACAAAGCTTTAACCATATATGCCAACATACATAAAAATATGTGAGAATGCACAGAGAGAGAGAGCACACACACAGACAGAGAAGGACAAAATCCAACAGCAACATGAGACATAGTGTAGGCACACGTACACACAAGCATGAAATGAAACCATGTGGGAAAGATTAAGCTTCTGGAACAAACACATGCACAAGCACAAACACACACACTCACACACACAGCTGAGATGAGAAGAGAGGGGTGTTATTAAGATGAAGTCTACAGGAGGTCTGAGGAAACATATCTGCCATCAGACTGTAGCAGTCTGTGGGAACTAACTCTGCAAGACAGAATACCACGATTTTCCTGGCAAGTAGCTAACCTTGTCTGTAACCTTGACTACTGTACGTCAGATGAAAGGAAAACTAGGGCTCGGTGTTGTAGAAACAACTACCTTGGTTAAGAGAAAGTCTAAGCTGAGGAAAGTTACGAGATAACTTAAAGACCAGAGGAAAACTGCTCATTAAGATACTGAAACGTAAGCCATATACCAGAACTAATGTGACACATTCCCGTTTTCTTCCCAGCTTAAATAATATAAAGCAACATAACACTAAGACAGGAATGTTGACTGTTTATGGGTTATGGTGTCAGTTTGTCCTCATCCAAACAGTTGAGACTGAGACAAGATAGAGAATTTAAGGTTAAAGTCCTCACCGAGGACATTATGGAGACATCTGCTCATTTCAGCTGACATAACAAGATTCACTTCTGCAATAAAATAAGCGTTACATTGCCTTGGCTTGGCTATTTTGTCACTCCATCTGCAAACGGAACAAACATAACAAAACAAAACACGGACCTAAAACCTGCTTATATAATTGTCAGTTTAAGAAGCGTGAAGGAACAATACAGTTTCAATAATTTCCCCCAAAAAACAAATAGATCATAGGCATGACTGCAACAACTAGATTGTCATGGGGAAGATATTTTTGGTGCAAAATATATTTTTTAAATTGAAAATCATGTTCGAACTATGCATGTCATCTCACGATAACATCACCAAATGTACTATTTCGTAACTTAAAGCTTGAGTCATTATTGCCATTCTAAACACTATGAAGTGTTAATCACAGGTGACAGCATAATAATATTTTATGGAAGCATGAGATAGTGTCCTAGAATGAAAGCTATAGCTTCTTACAAAGTTAGATTTTGTATTTGTTTGTTTCCAGTGTGAACCACAACTGTAATGAAATCTTTTCAGTAATTTGTCAGTAGTTATTTCGCAATCATTCACACAGAGTACAAAGATGAAAAGATACATGGAAGCAGTTTGACGGTCTTTTTCCTGCGTTTTCACCTCTGTCTCCTGGAAAAATAGGGAGTTGTTGTTTGGTGCATTCTTAAGGCATGCTTTCACCCACAAGCTATCTGAATTAAACAGGTTAAAGCTGCATTTAGACTGACATTACCACTGCGTCAAAAAACCTGGCTCAAGTTTTGCCCTGACAGGGCTCTGTGCCTTTACTGTAGCTTTCTCACGCGAATATATTATCAGTTTCCACGCAACTTCCTCTTTTGTGCTAAATCAGCTCACTGATATTACTGCTGTTTCTCACACATGAGGACACACACACAGACAGACCTAAAAGAATACATATGAACCCTCCCCATGTATTGGATATTTTCTGTGCAGCCGATATATACGGGTGCAGCATGCAGGCATGCATGCTCACACACCTACACAGTCTCAGAAAGAGGCCACAGATGTGTGAAACCCCAATTTACATCCACAAAAAAGAAACTGTACCAACACAATATATAACACAGCAACCCCAACAAGTTTGTGTGTTTAAATGACTTCTTTTAGGGTGTGAACACGTGTGCTTTTTCTTGTGTACGTTAAAATTCCTTTTAAGGCCATTCTCAGGGCCTTAACTCTCTGCCCTGCCAAGATTATACACACACACACACACACACACACACACACACACACACACACACACACACACACACAGAAAAGAGAAAGGGGGAGCAGCTATGCAGTTGGCTAACTAAAGCAGCATTGCAATCAGCCAGGAAAATCCTGCCAGTGCCTTCCCATCCTAATATATATGCATGCACGTACACACAGGCTCACACGCACGCACACACGCACGCGCGCACACACGCACGCGCGCACACACACACCCCTCTGGCTCTATCATCAACTGAATTACCTCACGCACATGGTTAGGCTGCAGCTGGCTGAAGAGTTGAGGGCTGCTAAATATAAAACAAGCACACATGCACACTCAGGCACACACATGCATGCAACGTCTTTTTCAATGACCTCCGTTTGTGCCAGAATACACACTTGCACACACCCTGAAGAGACTGAACTCTGCTTCCAGTGACCTTATAGATGACAGTGGCTAGGACAGCAGTCAACTTAGCCACTCTGATTATTGGTTTGGGGATCTTGGGGGACTGGGTGTACAAGCACATGCAGCCTTGCAGCTGGCCTCATCTGGAAATATTGCAGGGTTTTATGCCATGAGGTCTCATGTGGGGAGCCAAGCATTTATATTAGAAAGAAGGGAAAAAAAAGACATCTTGCTGTGCTGTGATGAGCTGTCAAGCAAGGTCAGGGAAACACAAGCTGATCTTTCTTAAAAATGCAAAATATATATTTAAAATGTGACACTTATATTTTCTGATTGTTGAGTTGATGTATTAATCATAAAGTAATAAGTAGAAAAGATGTGACTGGCTGAAGCAAGCCCCAAACAAACAGGAAACAGTGTAGGAGGCATATCAACTCACCAAAGAGTAAAAGAAGACATGAATGTTGCACATTCTTTGAGGTAGCTGAGAACAAAAATGGCTCACTCTGCAAATGCCGTGCTATGTTGATGCATGAAAATGTCTGTGTTATAAAGAAATGTGTGACAGTAATCACTCAGTAAGGCACAGACAGATTACATCTATCTTTTCTCATACAAACAGTAACTCCACTTCCTGAATCTCCTTAACTGGGTAAAAGGGCAAACTACCTCCTATACTATCTTAAAAGGTTATCAATGTGAAACAAATTATGGCATTTTAACAGTGACACTGCTACTCAGCACACAAGGCAAGAACAGACATGATGCTCTAATTAGTTTTCATTAGTTTAAGCTCTGACCAGACTGTCAGTGTCAACTGTTGGCTTTTTCAGCTTGGTTAAAACCAAAGCCTGCTCAACATCACAGCATACTGGAGCTAAAAAACAAATCAATCACTGGAGGCAAAGATGTGATGAAAACCACCAGTACAGCGCACAGTTTTCTGAGACAAAGCTAAATGTCATCACAGCTTTGGTCTTGTTTTGTCATGTGGCAAACTGTACACCAAAAGGAGCTTCTTAGATGCGGCAAAACATCATTTATGAAAACAAAACAAACAGAGAGAAAAGAGATGATTTGAAAAAGGAGGGGGGAAACCCCTGTAACTAAAACAGCTGGAAACAGGAAATTACTTTGGGCCTATGTGTGTGTGTGTTAATTTAGAGTATGTACATACATGTGAGATGCAGCCAGGCAAACCGACTTTAACCAACCGTTAAAGGTTTCTGTGGGTTTCAATCTTATTGATGAACAGAAACAGATCTACAGAATTATCTATCTTGCACAAGCTGAGGAACCTGCCAGCTGTTAAATGTTTCAGTGCTGTGCAGAGTTCTGAGAAAAAGCTAAACAAACAATTTCAAGAACTGTAGACACACGGCCCTCTGAAACACAGGATAACATCCTATGACAGCAGGTATCTGCTCTAAGAATGAAACAACAGTAAGAAAGTGTCAGCCATTGATTATATGCTGCATACAGCTAAACTAAATGTCAGTAACTTAGATAAAAAACATTAAATGTTGTAAATGTACATTTTGGGTTTCCAATTTGTTTTACAAGTAAATCTACTATTACTTGATCACAATTGTATAAATTAAAAAGTGATTATTTCACTCTTCTTTGACACTGTATTTAACACTGACACTGCAAAAAACTTGAACAACTGCGGCCACTTCTGGGGAAAAATCATCGCTGCCATACTGCAATATACAGTTTGAAACTGAAATCCCTATTTGGTTTCTATCTGAGAGTTAGATCAGAAGATACCACTCCTATGTCTGTGCATTAACTATGGAGCTAGAACTAGGATGCAATTCGATAAGCATACAGACCAGAAGTGGGGAGAAACAGCTAGCCTGGCTCTGTTTAAAAGTTGAAAATAATCTATATGCCTACAAACACCTCAGTTCAGTAATTGACACAAATGTTGGTTTCAATGTGTGGTTTTAGGTGGAGTTGCATGGTAGTACCATTTTTTGGCCAGCTAGTCCTAGCAGGACACAATAATTAGACATATTTACATGTATGCAAAATATATATGTGTACATACATATATGTGTACACACATCCAATAATTGCTTGGTTTATATAAAATATGTGTATAAATGTAAGCATGAGCAAATGTTTCTACCTTTGGAGGATCATAGAGCTCCAACTGGTACCTCTCCCCTCCTCTTCCTCCTCCTCCTCCTCTTCCTCCTCCTCCACCTTGAGCGTCCCTGATCCTCCTGACCAGCAGGCGGCAGCGTTGCCAGCGGGGCTGAGAGTCTGAGATAGTGTCATCCACCTGCAAGTACCTCAGTTGGCCCTCTTTACAGCAGCCGCTCACCTCTGACCTTCTCTGCCTCATGCTTCTGCTGCGTAGCAAACGGAAATGATCCAGAAAGTGAGAGGCTACCCCAGCAAAAGAAGAGGCTGGGGGCGTGGCTTCAGAGTTCAGACAAGAGGAAGAGTGGGAGGATGAGGAGGAGGAAGACACTTCCTCATTGGTGGAGGAAATCCCACCCATTCTGTCACTATTATTTTGGGGACTGTTGCTGTTGGTGGGGTTGGGGTTGCTAGGAGACAGGTCCTGGGATGTGGGAGGGCTGAGGGGCCGCTTCTTGAGAAGCCGGCTTATGGTCTGCTGGATTTGACTGAGAGAAAAATGTGTGACTTCAGCGTGGCCAGGGTTGGAATTTGGGGAGTCCGAAGAGTACCGTTCAGATACCTGACGACGATCAGTGCCAGAGACCTCCTCATTGCTACTGCTACGAATCAGCTGTGACCCGCTGCCGATACTACGAGTCGACCCTCTGTGCACCAACGGGTTTCCTGATAAGGAGTTTCCCGCCGCACATCGCAGTGGCTGCTCCTGTTCCCGACTCACCACAACAGGCTCAACTTTTGGTGACACCACATTAAAACGAGCAGCTCCTCCACTTGGCCGGCCCGCTTCCCGATAGTCCTGTACCCCAGACAAAGATGTGATCGAACGCATTCGACCAATCACAGCCTGTGATGGAAGGAGAGGGGCAACTGGAGTGGTGGAGGAAGCACTACCGATACCGGTAGAGCACGTGTTCTGGCCGAGGGGCGTGCCATCTTTGTCGACCTCACAGCAGAAGTGCTGCTGGAAGAGGTCAGTGAACTGCTTGGAAAAGGTCTCTGGTGGGAGCACGTCATGTTGTGGCCGCTCTCTGGCGAAGCTCTGGTAGTGTCCGGCCAGCTGCCGGGCTGTGGCGATGGCATGCAGCTCGCAGAATTCCCTCCAGCCTCTCGGGGGCGCTTCCACGCCTGGGCCTCCTCCTGCAGTTGTGGTGGTGTTGGTTGGATGTATAGTGTTACCATTCATTGCAGTAACCAGACCGGCTGAGAATCACTGCTGTGAGACAAGGGAGGTTGAAAAGAAAGAGGAAAGGAGAAATGGATGGTTGGAGAGGAGGTGGGGGTAAAAGGGTCGATTTGGAGATGAGAGTGGAGGGTTGGACAGTTTAGAAGAGAAGGAGAAAAAAAGATGATTGAGGGACAAACAAAAGAGAGATATGGAAACGTAATTAGAGGCAAATCAAGATAATGTGAAATGTTGTGCAAGAACTGGAGCACTAAAGATGGAACTGGCAAAACAGCATTTCTTTGAACTACTTGAAAGTTTGAAACAGTTCAAACATTGAGAAAGGACAGCCAAAAGTCTGATTTTATCTGTACTCAATCTTAAACAGTCCAAATTAGATTACACAGGCCTGCAAAGAATCTCTGGCAATCAACCAGTCATACAGTATCTTAATAGATAAGGACGGCCACAGTTCACTCAAAGGACGATAAGTAACCATTCGATTTGTGGAAAAAACACAGCCGATTGAATCAGGAGTAAAAGTGCATATAGTGCATGTCAGGAATCAGGGACACTTTTTATTGGAGCCAATAAAGATGAATAAATCTGTTCCAAATTGCATTGACATGGAGGACAGACACTGAAGTATTTGAAATGAATGAAAACAGTAATATGTCATTTGGACAGACACTGAATGAGGCTGTGACTGAGGAAGTACGGTAAGAAAATTTCTCAATCAACCGCACTGTCTGTTCGACCATCTGTGTGTTTGTGTGTTTACATGTGACCTGTTTCAAAGTTCCTTCTGCTTTTTTCCCCCCAAAGATGAACTATGTCAAGACTATTACATGGACTGTGATTACTTGCACTTTCATGCCCAATTTGGCTCTTTCTCTCCCCCCAAAGAGCAATAACTTTGGTAATAAAGCTTATAAAAAAGGCCAAACAAAGATCATGTTCACACCTAGCCTGATTTGAATTATACTGATGAAGTCTTTCCTGCAAACTCTGATTACAAATATGAAAATAAACCAATCCTGGTACCACAGTAAGCTCTGTGCATTAGATTGTTGTTAGTTGGGCCAGGGTCAGATCATGTTCTCACTCCATATGCAACAGATGATGATGCAACATGCTTGTTTACCTCTAAACTCTGCTGATCCTCTGAATATCTCTGCGAGGTGAATAATTAGGAATTTGTCACTGTCCGACCGGCAGCTGAATCGATTCTTTAGTAAGATGGCCAAAAGTTCCTTAATTTTTCTGGCTGCTAAATGTTCTTTTTTTTTAGTATTTTTTGGTCACTTTTGGTGTTGGAACAACATGCAACAAAGTTTCTGGCATCCTGGACTCATGACATCTTGAACCCAGTAGCTACCAGGATGTCCCTTCTATTTTTCTAGGTTTTTTAGGGGAGATTTTTGAAGCGACACCTTGCCTGCGCTTACCTTTCCACCATGGTAAACTAACTGCTACTTTTGTAATTAGAAAGAAATGAGACAAATGTTTAAGAGTTAACTACATAGTTTCACAGAAAAGAGGAAACAGGATGCATTCCTAAGCATTCAATGAGAGCCCCTATCCCCATCTTTCATCTTTTTAAACACCCTCTTGCCATTCCCTGATGTGTATATACACTGCTGACCCTGAGTACAGCTCAACCCATACTTATAGATGATTAGTAGGAGGAAGAACACATTTTAAAAGAACCACAACAGGCCTGAGCTGATGCAAGAGTGGAGCTTCTGGGTTTATGCAGACAGCCCATAGATGATACAACATTGTATAATCAGCCACAGAGTTGCTAGAGCTTCACATTATTGTCAGGTAGCAAAACAATAACATTTATATGTACTTAAATTAAGTTTCATCAAGATGTTTCGGAAAAGAACTTTGTCTGATTATAAACTATAGCATGGCAGGATTTTGCAGTCTTTTTGCCTGCAATGGTTTCAACAAAAGCTGTCAAAGCAGGTAGAATATCTCACTTACTGGCAGAGAAACATCGTGTGAAGAACCTAAAGATGTTTTCTAAGATTCCAACATGGATTATATAATAACTGCAACTAATGTATACACTACTGCAACCCATGCTTCCCAAAACTGAACAGCTAAAGAGTTGAATAAACTCACAGTAAGACATCAGCTACAGTAATATTAACAAGGGTTTATCATTCTGAAACTACATGTGCCTACAGTACATACCATCTTCTTCCAGTGCAGCAGAGAAGGGTCTATTCTAAATACAGGAAGTACGAGTGTGTGTGTGTGTGTGTGCGTGTGCATACGGTTGTGTGTGGGTTGGTGTGGGGGGAGTCATAGACTGTGGTCCAACAGATCACAGAAAACCACAAGAAATAGAAGGGGGGGGGGGGGGTCGTTGTGGTTGGGCCAAACATGGAGCAACATGTCTCGTTATCTCTCGGCTAACATCTCCCTTCCTCTCCGTGTCCTAAACGACGACATTCAGAGAAGAAAAGTTGTGCATTCTTGAAATCGTGTCATGCAACCATTTTTTCATTAGTATCATCAAACATACCAGGGGACACGTACGTCAATGAGGGAGTGAAAACTTGGCAACGTGAAACATTGCGTCACTAAAGTTCCTGGATGTGTCCTGTCACAACAACTAATTCCCTTCCTGTACTTTTCAGAGCATGCTCAGTGCATGCCCCCTTGTGCCCCTCCAGCTGGCCCCCCCAGAAGTCTGTTTCTATCTGCCTAGCCAGCCCAGCGATGACTCAGCACTGACTGACTACAGAACATGCACACACACACACACACACACACACACACACACATAAACACACACATATACACACACATATACAGACACACACTTCCTCTCGCCGTATCCCTCTGGGGGCTTGGCCGTCTCTGTTCCCATGGTTTTCCCTTTCTTTTGATCCTCTGTGTCCTCTGGTATGAGGATCTCCAGATGTGTTTGGATTCATGCTTCCTTTACTTTCACCTTGACTGAGGGCCTAACAGGGTCACGTTCAAGTTGTGAGGGAAAACAAAAAGGCTAATACAGTTTGGTGTCTCGTTTCTCTGCTCTCTTATCCAGGACCTCCTACCCTTAACGTGGTGCTTTGTTATCGTATTATTGTTTTGCTAGACAGAATTCAGCAGGATGACAGAAAAAATAGGCCAATTCAAACAAACAAAGTTGCAAATGGAAAACATTCCTGCACAATAGAATCAAAGTTCCTGCATTCCCTCCTTTCTGTCTTCCTCACCTTACTCATCGCTCCCTCCTCATCCTCTTTCTCAATGCCTACATTCTTCACAGTGACACACACACACACACACACACACACACACACACACACACACACACACACACACACAGATTTTCTTTCTTTGTCTCTCTCGTGCTTTACAAATCTGGCACATCTTTTCCTGCAGCATCGACACCACAAGCATCCTGAGCAACTGCAGCCCTGAGCAACTAAGTGGTGATTGTCAACATCAGTGGCAGGTTTTGTTGGCAAGAAGAAAATGTATAGTTGAACCAAACAAATGTTATGGTTTATATGCTCCACCTATGACTGAAACTACCGAGGCTGCAGCTCAGCCACTGTTGTTTAAAATAGCAAACAGACAGTGACATCTCAAAGTCATTTGCTTTTATTGGACAGATGCACGAGTCAAACAGGTGCAAAAATTGGCTTGCGACTGAATTATAGAACAATCTCTTCGTCTGAACCTCTGACATGAGGTCAAATGTGAATATGGAATATGGATTAGTCATCAACAGTTAATTAATCAGCAACTATTTTGACAATCAAATAATGTCTAAAATTTGACACATTTTCAAGCAATAACTGCAACATTCTCTGCTTCCAGCATCTCAAACATGAAGATTTACTGCTTTTCTGTTTACTCTCACTGTACATTGAATATCTTCATGTTGGTCAGACAAAACAAGAAATCTGAAGGTCAAAAAGCAATTATTCCATAAACTAATAATAGATTAAACTGATAATGAATATAACTGCCCCAATGCACTCCCACTATGAATGTTAGAGGGGTCATCTCCTCTGAAACTCAATCATTTATATTTAGGTTTTGATTTGAATTGTTTACAGAATAAATTTTAAGACCTGGATTGGTTAAAAAAGCCTTATCAGCCCAATACCGAGTCAGGATAAAAGACAGCAAAAATTGGCTAGCAAATCTTTTACCTTCCCGTCATAACTGTGTTGCTCCTGACATCAGAAGTGGAACTTAACTAACACCCTTTTTTTTTACTAGGGACAGCCAGAAACTGATTTTAATCAAGCAGGAAGGAAACAGGATGCGTGAAAGACACACGTGAATTGATCTTGTCAGCATGAGTAACCTCATGACTTGTGTCAGCTCACTGAGCTGATTCTTAACACAACACAGGCTGGAATCAACCTCAGGACATATTATGGGGGTGAATGTGTGGTGCTGTGGCATGTCATTCTCGCTAAACGGCCAGACACCCAGAGAGAACAGCTAGCAGTGTGCCTATGGTGGCCAGTGTCCTGGTCTCTGGCCTATTGGGAGCAGAGCCAAAACACAGTTTCCTTGAAACCAGCATTGCCTTCGAAATACACACGCTGCCAATCTTAATATTATACTGTACTGCCAACACAAACATTTCCACTACAACATTTCAAAAAAAGAAGAGAGCTGGTATTCATTTTTGAGCAAAGAAGAAATTAAAATCTACGAAGACACACGAGGACTAAGGCTTATACAACACGTAGAAAATTATCAGTGCTGCTGGTGGAAGCCCTCTTGCAGGGAGGTCCTATTTATATCTCAAGAGCTTGGTATCAGCTCTCACACACCACTGTGTGTTCCCTGTTGTCCCCAGTTGGGAGCAGCTCTTGTTTGATGCAACACACACACACACACACACACGCACACACACACACGCACACACACACAAAAGAGATCTCTGAGCTTTCAGGTCATGTATTCATAGCAGCCAGCAACTGCCATGGCTACATACTAATTCCAATGCAAAGGTGTTATTAGATGCAGTACTTCTAATGGCCACTGGTTGTAAAGAAAGG